CCCCCAAGGCCGATGCTGTCATGCTACACCCACCCTCGGGGGAGGGCTTAACTAGGCCGAGATCGAGCGCCACCTCCCTTCCAATAACTCCCACGCCGTCATTCCCTCTCTTCGATTTACAGGCGTTCCATCGGAGGTTTCTCCTTCTGGAGCTCCATGTTGATCCCCGGGGCGTGCGCCGGGCTCACCATCTTCATCGACCACGTCAACAGGCGTAAGATAGTCATGAACACATTTTACAACATGGTGAGTATGCATCACAGCAGGGCTCAATAACTCGTGTCCCCTAGTAATGCCAAATGCACTTAAATACGCAACGCATTCAATGCGGCAAACGACCGAGAATTGGCGCAAGAGAGAACACAATTCAGACGCGTTTAAACTTAGCCGTAAATGCGAAATCGACCAAATATCGACATAGAGGCAGGAAATGTTCTCACTAGGTACCTTTCATGCGCGTTACCGAATCAGCGCTACTAGTGTAGGGTTTACATCTAGAGAGACTCTAGTTTACATCTGGAGATCGGTGACGTGGAGTGAGGTGGTCTTCCCTCATCCCCACTGAACAATCAGCCCCCTCGACTCTTCAGGCTTTGGAGTACCTCTACGTTCGGGCCCAGATTGCCGGCATAGTGCGTCGCAGTGCTCCTGTGGACACAATCGCCTTCATGGTCATCAACGCCATGCTGCTCTCCCTCTTGCACAAGGAGAGTACGAAGAAAAAGAAGACGCCCGTATTTTGGTTGGTGGAACTCTGAAGAAACCATGCATCTTCTTGATGAAAGAAAGACACCGATTGTAACACAAGTCTTGTTTGTAGGTTTTTTATACCCGAGAGTGAAAGAATAGAAATCAATACATCAACCCAAAAAACTTGTCCAGTTCCCCACAAGGAAACATGCTGGAGATCAGCCTTGCAGGTTCGAATGCCAATGATCATAAATGTAACAGTAAACATACATTGTAAAAACTGCGTACTTTTTCTGGTAGATTTATCATTTGTTCAATAGGCTACTACAAAATACTCAGCATTGGCTGGAGCACTACAAGCCCTACGAGTGGTGATGGCTAAAGGAAGTACTATTGCAAATGATCCAACTACATTTTTCAGAGAATTTTGTTCTAAAAGAACTGGGGCTGGCATTTTATCAGTAGGAGGATACGTATTTCTATACAAGGTTTGCATCTCAGCACCAATATAATTTCTTTTTGGCTCAATGTTAAATAAATGTGTTAAAAGATTACCTGTTAACTTTTGCAGGTTGCACGGTGTGCCTTGGCTTTGAGGTACGGATCAGACAACTATCAGCATAGTGCCATTGCAGGTCTGGCTGCAGGCACAGCATTTTGGCTCCAACCCAACACTACTATCCTCACATCTGCACTCATTGCTACAATACGCGTTAGTATTCCACACAATCAAAAATAAGAGGTAAAGAAAAATTACAGACTCAATTTTGCCTTATGCTTCAGCTGCTGCTTGATTACTTACCAAGACAACTGAAAGCACTTCGTGAATGGCCTATGCCCGAGGTACTTTTTGCTCTTTGCAATGGCATTTTATTTCATGCACGCTGCATGGACATGGCTCATTGTCCTAGATTTGTTATTCACATGATGGATACTGCTACAAGAAACAGGTAGGCGCACCAGCATCTCACCTATTAATTTTCTCAATCAGTCTAAATATGAGTTTTTGAATTCCTTTTACAGGTCAAACACAATTTACAATACATACTTAAAGCTCATAAATAGTGTACAACTAAAAACATGAAGAACGTGTTTGGACTATGAAGGACAAATTTGTTCATGCCTTGCTGAGGTTGAAATTAAAAGAGCATGAAAACATTTCTAAATGAAGAGGGGATTTAGCACCTTCAGTTGATAAACCACAGAGGTTGAATAATAATTATTTTTTAAAAAACCTAGCTAAATTGGTTACATGCTGAATGCTTTATTCCATCAGCCTACAAATTTGTACATTTGTTGAAATATCATCACCATGCAGATTCCCCTAATCCTAACGATTCACGCAGCAGGTCACTGAGAATTCAAGTAACCTTTTCAACATAAAACTTTATAACGAAATTTTAAACATCTGACATAATTGGGCAATCATCCTCAAAAATACAAGACTGTGCAATCAAAATATGTTCTGACTAAAGTAGGTATCCAGGAATATAATGAATCCAGGATATACTGGCACAGTAGTCAAGGAAATAGAACTATAAAGAGAACTTTAAACCAGACAATCATCTCTCTTACTACCAGACTTTTTGTAAGAAAATTGTATTCGCACCAGTTTCAATGGTTCGCAATCCAGTAAACACTCTTTGATAAAATTTCCGGGCGGCATCAAGCAGTTTTCAGAAAATGCACACCACCTAGTTTTTCACTGAATGAATTCTACATGAAATCAACAGATAGTGAACCCAGAAGACCATCTTTCACAGAACTGATTGTAAAACATTTGTAATTAGTCATCACTTCAAAAATTAACAACAAAAAAGTTACTCTATTGAAGTGGAACACGCCCCAATAAGTATTGCACCACATTTACTGTGGTTACCAAAATGTGAAGTATCACAGAAAAATTAAAATAAGGAAATGTCAAAATTTATTCAAAATGAAAGTCAAGATGAATCCTGTGACATTAGGAAGACCATTGACTTCTATATAGTTGTTGTAAAACACAAAAGTCATAATTTCTACCTGTTCCCGGGTTACCTGATAAGACAGATTGAATGCACATTTACAGCAATACAAATTGAATGGACAAGTAATAATCAACTTAAGATTCTAAAGTATTGGCCATAAATAAAGAATTCAGACTACAGAAGATAGTTAGGGACCGAGAAGTTCATTTGAGTTGTCAAAAAAATGTAGGATTTCATGAATAGATGAATGATGTGATGAGTATCACAAAAAAATGTGCAACAGCAAGATAAGGTTGACAAAGTTCATGAGAGTAAAATTAATTTGAGTGAAAATTTAGGTGAAGGAAAAGTAGATTTCTGTTCTTTCAATCAATTAGAAGACTGATCAATCTAGGTTTTTAAACAACCTATAAAATTATATAATGCCTACTCAAGAAAATACAAACATCAACTTTTGACTTATAAGTTAGTTTTATTATTACACTAAAACGTTCACACAGCACAACCCAGATGGTGAGTCTTCAAAGCTTGTACAGGGTGTCTACTTATTACCTGAAAACATTTAAGTTAAATATCTCATATCCAATCTGGATAAGGATTCAATGCAGTCTTCATTATAAATGTACAGCTATTTTCTTTACAAATACTAAAAATTAAAAACCTTATTTAGACCAACCAAAACATTCATTTTATGTTTCAAATAATAGATTACACTGTAAATGTGTACAATTTAAATAAAAGCAGTAGCAATAAACTTTAATTAAAAAAACTAGTTTTCTGTAGACACCCTACAACTAAATATCACTTTGCACAGCTGTGTATACCTTACAAAATGTTACAAATGAGTTGAGACTCGTCCTTACTATATATACATTCAAGAGCACATTTACTTTTCACTCCAAACGGTCACATTATGAATAAAATGCCTCAACTTACTTGGAACCATCACAATTAATTCTTGCGTCAGGAGGTATAGCACAACATGACTGCATTCTCTGAGGTGATTCCATACTTGGAATCTTTCCACAGCTGTACAAAGTGGCAAGGTATATGTACAAACCTCCTATTGCACAAAATCCATTTTCAGAGCTTACTCTGGCTTTTGTTATCAGCTTCATAATTTTGGCACAATTTTGATGCAAGACTGCTGTGGCATGTTGATAAAAAAAAAAAAAAAAGGCAAATTAAATGACATAAAGTTTGCATGCTGTTAAAGTAATTTTTATAAAAAAAATGATTCAAAACAAAATTTACATTAAAATTAGAAAACCCACAGTTATCAGACAGCTCTGAAATCATGGAACCATTTAAAGTGCAATGATTAGATAAAGAAAATAAAATCTATGGCCCACTACAAATCTTGGCTGGGTTACAGATAAAGTCAACATCTTAGAAGTCAATTTAAACAACCATATGTGACATGTCCAGTCCACTTGACAATAAGAAAGTTTCAAAATTTACATAAGACAAATTGTGAAGGAAAACTTAGATAAGAATTCATTTCAGGATGCGTACGTTGAGAAATTCAGAAAAAGTAGTAAAATAGGCAATACACACTTATTACCAGAAAGAACATGCACACTGAAGCTTCTCAACATACCATACCAGTCTTGCAAATGATACTGACACAAAGGTTTGGAATAAGCATGGTTTACCATACACATAGGCTGTAATTCACTTGCAGTGGGTACCTCAATGTAAATAAAAAAGAAAAAAGAAAGTGGGGTAGCGGGGGTTGAATACCCCTAAATAAGCAGTCTACCAACTAACCAAATATCAGATTGACAAAAGAGATCATGTATCAAAAGCCATGTTATCACTACAGAGCCTCAATACCTTGAAGAATAAAGGTTTGAATTTAATGAACATAAAATTGTAATGAATGGCAGCTTTGATTTTCATGTCAAAGCATGACTAAAAACAAAATAGTTTGGCCAAATCTAGTGCTAAAAAAGCAAATTAAAAGAAAGGGCTTTGTGAATCCACCAGTGCATCACTGAATTTGATGTGTGAAAGTAGATGTAACAAATGCTCCAATATGGACTTTTGTCTATAGATAACTAAAATTACTTGCACTCTACAAAAGTGGTACAGAATGAAAAGTAAGAATTTCTTACTTACTAAATTGCCAACCAATTAGTACTGGTGAACAAAGGGGACAAGCTGCCATATTTTCTTTTTAGTAAGATATTACTTTACATACACTGAATTCAAACAACAATGGCAGGTATATACCTTGATTGACTCTCCATAACTTTTACAATAAGTCTTCAAAAAGCCACCTTTGGCAACATTGGTAAAATCAACTTCTTCCTTTGGAATGATTATTCCCAGTGTGGTATCCATTTGGTTCATTTACCATCAGATAGTCAAATTACACATTTATAAAAATAAGCATGATCCTATTTAATTAACAGTATGTTATGTACAAAAGACAGAAAGAACTAAATACAAGTGAATTAACAGGATACTTTGTAATACGGATATGCATCACCTAGGTTGATTTTGGTCCGACCAAAACCAGATGCTGCGTAGCAAATCTTTGAGGACAGGTGAATCTACAATACACAAACCAGTCTTCAGTTCCTTGACATCTATGATAAGTTGCGAAGTTTGAATGAAAATTAACTTAGCAACAAACGGAACTACTATCTACAGCAGTGGCACCAGCAAAGTGAATAGGTTAGAAGAATATCAGATCACACACAAATGGAGCACTTTTCTGTGAGATTCATGCATGACAAAATTAGGCTTCTAAAAAACGACAATGAAGATAATTTGAGCAAAAGTAATGTAATACCAACTGATTACAGAATTGATAAAAATTTCATTTAACATGGCCCAAAGAAGTTCCATCATTTCCACTTTTGCTTCCTAAGAATGGTGGTGAGGATCAGAGACAGACCTGTTTTTCTGAAGTTCATTTCCAGGTATCTTTAAGTAAGTCCCCACTGGCACCACTGATTGCTTCTCCATCCATGAATCATTCTTCTGTGCATTCCATGGTAACACGGATTCAACTTGTATTTTGTGTTAATTTTAGCTTACATATGAAGATAGACACATGAATCACCGGTTTTTCCAGTGTTTTTCTGGCGCATGGCAGAGTGTGCATATTTGCACACGCACAAACACACGCGCGCGCGCACACACACGGTCACTCATTAATATAAGTTTCACATGACGAATTTGCACATCATGAAAGACGTGCGCGCTTATGTACTGGTGTCAGTAAATCACCATTGCCATCTTCTTCATCCTCATCATCAGAATCTCCCTCATAATCAACCAAGCCCTGATGAAACAAGATAGATTAGATTAGATACATTGTATTGATTGTACTTGAGTACGGGCTAGCATACATACGCATAAGCCTGGATGGGATACTAACCTTCTTGAAGAGAGAAGACTTCTCTGAAGGTGAGGCATTCAGAGGAGAGCTACTCACTGAGTTGCTCATATTCATGTTGTTATTCATTGCTTTACTTGGGCTCGTTGAAAGTTTACCTGGATTAGTCTCATTCTTCTTCTCCACAAGTTTAGCTGCAAAGCAAGTTGATGTTATTGATTACAAAACCTTATTGAGTACCAGACCAATAAAAAAGTAGATTAGTATACAATATCAAAATATTCCAGAATATCATAGTTACCAAGAGTGGAGTTGAGGTCAGGATCCAACTTTTTCCCAAGAATGTCAGGGTCTGGACCAGGAACTACTGAATCACCTTCATCAAATTCTTCTTCATCGTTGAACCACAATTCTTCCTCCTCTTCTAGCTGCCGCTGGTCACGGCGGTATCGACTGTTTCTTAAAATTGAGGGGACACTAAGAAAGGGCAGTATAGATTAGTGATGGTCACAAAGTGTTGCAAATATATTACTTGTATTTTTAAGCAAGTTTTTACCTATCTAAGGACGGCCGGTCTCGATCTTTAATTTTATCCAGATGTTGATCATACCTCATTTTCAAGGACTTAAAGGTCTGCACATAGTCAATATCATCCAATACTTTGCTAAAATTCTCTACTACATGTATGCATAATGTTTTTATGTCCTCCTGATAAAAAGGTGTCAAAATTTAGTAATGAAGACAGTAAGTACCACACATAGGTGAGGGTAAGAGCTAGGTAAGCGGCGAAGCCCAAGGATTGATCAGGCCAATTTGATAATCCTGGGTGTGCCCATTTCTACTTCAAGAACACAATTGTATCAACTTACCAACTTGATGAATTCAAACATCTCAAGAATAGCAGAATCCAATAAATTGTATCTGCCATTGTTCCTAATAAAAGCATCAATTACAGGGGCAAACAAGTTGCCCTTGATAATATACCGATTGTAAAACTCATCCTTAAGAGCTATAATTTTTCTCATAAATCTCAAGGCACAAAGCACCAAGAAAGTATGAGTAGACTTCATTAGAACCAAAATTCTTCTAAGGAGGTCTTTCGACAAGATGCAATTCTTTATGTGGTATGTGTGATGTTCAACACAGAAAGAGAGCAACTCAAGAATAAGACCTAACAGTTGAACTGTCTGATAGTCCTCTTTAGCAGGCCAATCAGATAGTGTATTGGTGAGAAGAGGACCTGCAATGATAGACAGAAAGTTTACTACACAATCCAACAAGCTTCAATAAAATGCAAAAATAAGTTATGAAAGCTGTACCAATAAGAATGTTGACACTGTGCTTGTAGAAATAGTTCAGAAAATCTGTCTTTTCTGATTTATTAATTGAAGCCATCATGTTTTCTGGATCCAAAAGAATTCTTAGAACTCCCATTAGTTGGACAGCTCCACCTAATTCTGTGTCAGTGTCACATATCATTTGGTCTATAACAACATTCAAGAGCATTTGGTCCTGCAACAATGGTTATTAAATATTAGATCGATGTACGTGAGTTATTAGTCTTACAAACAAATTCATAATGAACAAGGACTCACCTCATCAGTAGAATTGGCTTGCTGCAGTGTGTAATCTCTCACAAAAGAGGGATTGAATTCAACAATATAAGTTAAAATATCTATTGAAGCTGACTTTGTTTGAGGATCATCAGAAGTCAATGTTATTTCTAAAGCCGATAGTATTCCTAGTGAAGTGAGAGTCTGCAAAAGAAAAGTTATAGAATACAAAAAGAAAACTTTACTTTGCAAATCCCAAGGGAGGAGTCATACCTTGTAAAAGTTCTCTTTCCCTTGCGGTTGTAAATTTTGAGAAAAATTACAAAATTCCTTTAGGAATAGTACTAAATCACGCCTCTTGGTTTCTTCGGTTGACTCATCAGTAAGAAATCCAAATAGTTCTGTTAGAAATTTTTCATCCTCCTGTTTATTTAATTAAAAATAAAAGTTTAATGTAAAGGTTTCATGGTTCAAGTAAAGGCGTTTTATGAAAAATTCAGTCAGTTACCTGAACCAATGTGACTATTTCAACTTTATTGAAAAATATGAAACTTGATAATGTGGAGAGCATGTTGTCTTCAAAGACAGATGGTGTTGGGAGTACCACATCCTGAATGTACTGTACTCGGTAGGTTTGATGAATTTTAGCTAGGAGATCAGCATTTGTGATAGGAATAACTTCTTTAAACCTACAAAATTGTAATATCCCAAAGATTAATGAAAATCACCAGATCAGGTTAAAGAAGAGTTACATAAGGGAATTTGCTTACCTTGCCAGTTCTTTCAGGTACTCTCTGTGTTTCTTAGGTGTTGGTGTTGATGGATCATACTCAAGACATCCTACGACATCAAATATTGACTCATCTGTAACAAAATATTTATATTTTTAAAAAGCCAACTAAAACAAAGTATGGTAGGAATCTTGGGCAAGAAAAGGGATAATATACCTCCAAACATCACTTCAAACAAAGCATTTTTGTTTAAAAGAAATATGTTTTTGAACACTTCATACAAATAATGCAAGCCTTCAGTGTTGTCAAGGTCTTCACACATATGAAATAAGTTAAGCAACTTCCGTATGTACCCATCATTTTCAATTGCTACTGCAAGCTTTTCCTTTCTCATAGGAGATGTTAGACAACTGCTGACCACCTGAAAAAAACAAAAAAGTTTGATGTGAAGAAAGCAAATTCTAGAGCACAAGTTAAACTAGGCTAGGTGAAACATTAGTGCAGGATGTGTTCTATGCTGCATCAAGAAGTGCACAACTAGCGAACGCATTTGACCGCATCAAAACACAGCCCCCGAGCCGTTCAGAGTAAGTATATGGTAGTCCATCTCGTTTTGTTATATACCTCGTGTGTGTTCTCTTTACAAACCAATGTGCATATAAACTACACTCGGTTGGCAAAAGTGGAAAGTGATTGGCAAATGACAATCTGGTCCAGAACTTCTTACAGACTAACTTGAGACTAAGTACAAATATCTATGCACATACCTCGTTTATTTCTTCAAGTCGACTTAGCTCACATGGTGGAAGATCAATTGGTGGAGCAGAGTCTGACATTTCATCAAACCTTTCATCTTCACTTTCCTCGACAATGTCTTGAGTAATTTCAACAGATGGATCTTTTCCTTGAACCTATAAGAATATATACGTATGTTGTAAATACACACTGTAAAAATACTTAAAGATTTTTTGGGAAACAGAAATAACCACAAACCTGACAGATTTTTTCCCAGATTTCATCACAGCCTGCTTTTTCTTGGAAGCTTAGAGCAAGGTCAAAATTGTCACCCTCAGACCAAACAATTAATGTGTCCTGGAATTGAAAAAAGTACACATTATGAAATAGGAACAACCATAGCAAATTTATTAAACTGCAATAAATTTAGAAGATTTCAAACCTGTTGCTTTTGATAGGCTGTGTCTGGTTGAATTTTAGACTCCAAAAGAATAGTGCCATCAGATTCTGCCCTGACATGAAGGGAAATCCCCTTCAGTCGATCTACATACTGAGAGGAAACATGGCCAGTTCCGCGGTCATCCCACTGGCGATCTGCATTAAGCGCGTAGAGTTTAACGCGCCTCCGTGTGTCTGTCATCTCCTTAATTGTTTATAAATCAGCACTCATCTGCAAAAATAAGCATGACCTCAATGAATTGCCTAGAGAGATTGGAGATGTTATATTGTGGTTCAAAAACAGCAAACAGAGGGGACTGGCAATACAGTAAGAAAAAAAAAATGTAACCAACTATTTGACAGACAGAACAAAGACACTATTTTCAAAACTGATGCCTTAAATTACAAACTGTTAAAAGATTCATCTCATAACTGACAATTATGTTATTAATGAGATCTAATATAAAATGAGAGAAAGATTTAACATTTACAACATATAATTGAATAATATAGAAAGATTGAGAAGAGATGCTCCAGCTTAGCTTTAATGGTTAAAAAAGGTACTACTGGGTCATCAATGAGATTTATTGAGATTTTACAAATACATTGATAAGAGGATATAAAGCTGAGGTAAGGATAGAGAACTAGCAATATGTCAAGCTGATCTAGATGAAAAGTAAATGATACAAATGTAAAAGGTAAAACGAACGTGGTAAACAGACTAGGGGAGGAGGGGTGAACTGCCATTTCTGATGCTTGATTCACAATAGCCTTGAGAATGTTTAAGATGTGCAAAATCGAACATTTAAATGTAGAGCAAATACAATGTTTTGAAAAATTAGCAGCCCCTAAGTAGCAAAAAAACATAGCACGAAAAAGAAAACTTACAACTGAAGTGACATTTGTTTACTAAACATAGTGTCAACCAAGGGCACGTACGCGGATAGCAGACCTTGGAGCACGGCTCCAATGAACCGGCAACCTTTCTGAAGTTCATGGAAAATCAAGAATCTAATGCGATACGGTAACAGGGGACAAATATTTATATTAAACACACAATCCACGGGAAATGTATAGAGTTGTATAAACACGGGAAAATTGTGCGTTGGCCTGACTCAATACAGTGGTAGATAGCGCCCATTGCCTTGAAAACTACAGGTTAAGTGGGACTCCGGCAAAGTTGAGTCTATCCCACGTAGATTAAAAGAAAACACCGGATCAGAGAGAATAAGAAAATGTAGTTCAAGTTACAACAAATGTGATTAAAACCAGCAATAAACGCGAACAAGGGGAAATTAACCACAACAAAGAATACCGCAAACGAAAATCAATAGAAAGCGGACGCCATGCAGCCACACACATAAAGCAAAGGACAAAACTGATACGCAAACACTATGCTGTACCTAAAAATCATAATCCATTCATTACGCGTTGAAATCCTGTTAGAAAACGTAAATTCCACTCCGCTTTCATTATCTGGGTTATTACTACGCCATTTTGGATTAATAACAACGCTGCACGGGGTTTACACGGACGTCACTACGGACTTCGATTTTATGGCTAGAAGAGCTTGAGTCACTAGCGGCCACGGCTGCGCAACGCCACGGCTTGGTTTCTGAGCGCTCGTGAAATTGCGTTGCGTTAGTCGTCTGTTTTCAGTTTACGGCTTTCTAAGGGGGTAGAGCGAAAGTGGGAGAAACCGACAGTATCAGTGGAAGAATGTCCTTTCTTGGGTCTTCGTTGGTGAGCATGTTATGAATGAATTAGTTGCAGTTCCTTGGCGAGGGAGCACCCAAGAGGAATCACTCTGTCAACTTTGTGTGACACGTTTATCTTTCAACTGTCTTCGACAGACTGTCGTCTGCTTTCACCTGTGTAGGTTGTCCTTATGTACTCTCCATGTGTTTTTATATATTCGTTTCTTTAACATGTCATACGACTTTAAGAACAGAAGACATCCTTAGAATTCTGCTTACTATTTATGGCTTATCCTCTCTAAACTCATCATTCACTATTCTTCGTGCATCAGTTAATCTCTCTGGACACACGCATTACTACAATAACTGTTTTTCATTTTACAATTAACATTAATTTTAAAAGTTTACCCCAACCGTTTCTTACTTTTTCCTTTGTTTTGTTTCAGAGTGGCTCAATGCTGGCTCTAGGGAAATCAACACTACAGCAGACATTGTCTCGGTTGCTGTCAACAGCAGCATCTGGCAAGTTTCAGAAAATGAGCCCTTTGCAAGATAATTTGCCTGAAGATCAATGCATTCTAGTTGATGAGCATGACACTGTTACCGGAGCAGAATGTAAAAGTAAAGTCCATACTGTGAATGCAGACGGACAACTATTATTACATCGGGCATTTAGTGTTTTCTTGTTCAACTCAAAAGGCGATTTGCTTCTTCAGAAGAGAGCATCCTGCAAGGTACTTATTAAAAGTAGACAGTTATATCTGATCAAGACATTGGTGAACATCTCCAATGTCATATCACCCTCTAATTAATCAGTACCCATTCTTTTATTTTCATGTTTGATGTATTTCATTTTATACCTACTGTTTTGTCAAATCTTTACTTGACATTACAGGTTACATACCCAGATTACTATACTAATACCTGTTGTAGTCATCCATTGGCAACCATTTCCAATGAATGCATTGAGAAGGATGCTCTTGGAATACGACACGCTGCTCAGCGCCGTCTGCAAATAGAACTTGGGATTCCACCGGAGCAGGCCAAACCAGAAGAATTTAAATATCTCACTCGAATTCACTACAAAGACAGCGGTGATGGCAAATTTGGAGAGCATGAAATCGACTACATTCTCTTCTTACAGAAGGATGTTACTTACAATTTAAACCCTGATGAAGTAAGCGAGGTAAAATACGTAAAACGGGAGGACTTTAAAAACTTCCTCTCTGATGTGAAGGAACCAATCACTCCTTGGTTCGCTCTTATTGCCAAAAACCAACTACCAACATGGTGGGACAATTTGCATCAACTTGAAAAATTTTATGACCATGGAAAAATTTACAGATATACTTAAGTCTAAGATACATTTTTCCCTTTTTGTTTAATATTTGTATTTCCTGTTCCAATTTTGAAGGAATTTTCCTTGTCTCCACTTGGAACGTTTTCTCTGTAAAAGTTAAGAAATTTGTCTTCCATTGTTTTGTTATGTTTTGTTATGCAGTAAAAACACCAATGGCTTAACTTTTTGATTTTTTTTGGAGTCTTGTTTTATTTATAATTGAAATGCCTTTATCAACTGATTTTAAGTTTTGATAAAAGTTATGAATCATTTTCTCATTTTTATTATCTTGCTGTCTCAAAGAGTGGTAAACCATGTTACTTTAGGAACTTTTAAAATTTGTCTTATGTTTCATTTGTTGATAACTTACTGCAAATAGAAGACTGATGATGTTGACTTATTTTTATGGTGGTAGAAGTATTAGATACCTTTTCTTACATCATTTTAACTTTGAAGATTTTATTAATGTTAGAAATGTACTTGAAGACTGTGCTTGCTGGTCAAATACACTAGGTTTTGAAACTCTCTTTACTTTCTATTAAATCAGTCACATCTGTTCAATGTTTTGATTTAGGAGCTGCTTACTCTGACTCTGCAAGGCATGGTGGAAAGGGAATTCATCTCATGTCTTTATTTAGTTTTAGACGCTTTAGAATTTTGTCACTTTTAGTAGAAAGCAAAGGAAAATAAAAAGACAGCCCTACTGACCACATTTCCTTCTAATAACTTAATTTATATGAAATTTGCACACAATATCTGTGTTAATACGAATAAATGTTGAAGGAAATGTGATAGATTCAGACTACCTATTGCTTTTATGATGACTTACCTATCTAAACCCATGCTCATTGTATATTGTAATTGATTTCCTGCAGGATGATAATATTCAAAAATAGTTACAAACACAATTTGATGAACACTTTTGGTGCTGCATGGCTACACTGAGGTCATACACTGCTGGGTTTTCTATCTCCAAACCCCTGAATACGAGCATGATAAAATTACCAGCCAAGCCTCATCCAAGATTTTGAATAATAGCTATGCAGACCAAGGGCTTGGATCACTTTCAGGAGACAACTTATTTCACTGACTTCATAGGTCTACATTTACCCCCCCCCC